AATATGCGAATTTATTATTGCGCTTAAACTCCATAGCTAAAAATCATATTTCCAAAATATACTAATAATTTCTTACAATTTTTATGATTTCAATGTAATAAAACTGCACTCTAACTGTAATAATTGGTGTGACGTTTTTCAATCAATTTCCTACTTTCATCCATGGTATTAGGTAATTGTTATAACTAACAATAGTTTTCTGAAAGCAAGGATTTAAAACAATTTCCCTGCAATAATTAATGATTTTACCAAGTACAATAATTATTATAAAGTGTCATTTTATTTAAATAGGTAATTCAATTAAAAAATTATAAATTCGTTACTATTCGTCCAACTTCAATATACCCATGGAAATTTAATAAATATCTAGTCGACTATCTAGTTGTTTTATATGTCTGTCTATTTTACACATGTCTCTAAGGGAGCGCTTAAAAAAGCTGAAAACAAATTAGAAATCATTTTTGCCGAATAGTATTTAAGACAAAAAATATATTTTAGTCTTACAGTATTTAAGCCGAAAGTATTTAATCCGAGATATATTGTTCCAAAAATATTACAGCCTACCGTAAAAAAATTTCGGAAAATTTTTTCTTTCTTTATGATATACAAGTATATTTCTGAAATTGTCTTGTAATTTAATTGTTTTAATTTGATACTAATCACGTCACGTTAAGGAGACTGCTGTCAGCGGGTTTTTTGGCTCAAGAAAAAATGCCTAACGCGTTAGGCCTAACTAACTAAAAGTTTTTACACTCTTATTGATGCCTATGATGCATTGTAGAGTGATCAACAACGATTTCGATGATTATTTTTCGTTGAAAAGAGAAATAGTTCTTGCTGACCGTATTGAGCTTCGAGGGAAATAAGATTTTTAAAATATTTGCACCACCTTACAAGAAACTTAAATGACGACCCCGTAAAATTATGTACAACTCCGCCGCCATCGTCGCCCGTACCTATATTTTATTAATATTATTAGAATTATAGTGGCAGGTTATAGAACTATCGTCGGTTGCTAAATTATTATCGAGCAGAGCCGCAAAGTCGGTTCGGGAATAGTGCCGAGCAAGCGGTACATAATATACACGTTTATTATATAGGTATACAATAGTGTATACGCACACACACACATATACACACACACACACACACATACATAATATTTGTATAATATATTGAATAAAATGATGTGTTTTTGTATATATAACGATTGTATAGTTGACGAGGAGATTAGGTGCAGGGTAGTGTCGAGGGGACGGGCTCGGAAGACCCGCAAGTCGCGTTAAGTTAGTAACCGAGCGTATTGGTCGGATCGCGCGCGGTCGGTCGGTTCGGCTGAACGAAGCCCCACGACCGTTTCGGGGAGCCTGTGTGTTGGCTTTTTATTATTTTTATTATTAAGTTCGCCCTACTTGCTCATTCGCCCTTCCCGGCGGTCGCCTTATACCCTTATGGCCGACGACGACACCGCTCGAAAGCTCGCGTCACGCGCCACTGATGCCGCAAACATTCATTCAATATATTTATTTTTAACGTACCTACTGTTACTGTGCATGTTATTTATGCCGTGTATTCAAATACTATTCGGTATATTGTACACGTATAGGTACATAACATTTAAAATTGAAAGTATCCAAGTACTTATGTATAGGTACCTGGGTATATTATATTCGAGGTGAACACTCTATTTTATTATATTATATGGGTATAGGCATTCCGGCATTCGTCATGTTTCAAATTATCATTAATATAATATAATTAGCCCCTGGGCTGTAATTAAGGGCCCTCACAGGTGTATTGGCCCGTGTTTCAAACGATTCGAATTAACAAATATACGATCGTTTATCAGTACATTGTAGAATCCTTGATTAACTAATTAGATATGTCAGCAACTATCTGGGCTGATTTCACCAAATTGGTTTAAGCTTAACAGTTGTGTAACCATGATAAAGAACTAATTTGGCTGATTAACGTTGTTAATTATTATCAATAAGGTACCTGTATTTTTAGATTTTTAGTGTAGCGAAGAATGTATTGTTTTTACAAAGATGTTTATTGTTTTATTATTTTATACTGTGTAAAAAAATTCTACTAGAAATTTTGCTCCGATATATACGCGCGGCACCTTTTTTGAAAGGAAATATTGTTCAGATGGTACTTTTAGGAGGTCATTTTTTGATTTCCTAAACATTTTCATAATACCCGGGGAAACACCAGAATAAAAGTAAGAAAAACGGGAAATTTACGAAAATATTGCTTTTATTATTTTTCCAATTTTGTTATTTGTGTAACTCAATTAAGCTTATAAATTTAAGCCATTTTTGAGCTATTTATAGACATTTTAATTCTGTGAGTTTTATACGTAATTTTTATTCGGTAGGTGTTGTGTGGTAAAATTGTTAGACTAACAGAAATGCGTGAAAATTTAACAGGAGGTTCATTAAAAGTCTTACATTGTTGTCAAAAAAAAAAAAAATTGATTTTAATGTAGTATTTTTTTGCCAATTTAAGAACGATGGTGAAGTCATATTTGAGCGGAATGACTAATTTTTTAAAATTATAGCTTTTTGATGTTATGATATTATGTGGATATTGTATTAATATATGTTAAATGACTCTAGTTTGTCCTTTTTAAAGAATATTTATCGTAGTCAAATGGTTATACATACATATTGTCATCCTAGGGATCGAGAGTGCAAACCCGGATATCGAAATAGTATTTTGCATTTTTTTCCCTTTTTACCTATATAAGGAAAAAAACAAATGAATTTTGGATGCACCTATAGTCCTTAGCCATCGCTAGCTTGGACTTTTTTAATCGCAAAATACCCTTTGATTCGTTGTGCAAATTTTTTTCAAGTGAAGTTTATTTTCTGAAAGGAAATTTCATCTACGTAGGTACGTAGGTACGTTAGGGTGGTCATTTTTTGATTTTTCGAGCGGTTTTCATAATTTCTGTGTAAACCGAATGTAATGCCGGAAAAACGGAAAATTTACGAAATGTAGATATAAATAAAAAAAAAGATGTCCTAAGATAATGGAGACGGGTGCAGCCATTGTTATAGGTAATTTAATGTATATCTATAAGCAACGATAAACCATTGATAACGAAAAACGATTCTGAGCGTAGTTCAGTTGATGCTTTATCAATAATATATGTATCATATTATGCTATTTTTATTAAGAAATGTATGCTGTATAATATTTGTGTAATTTTTAGGCTTTTATCTATGATCGTCCGGACGATTTTTTACCTCAATCCGCTCCTGATAACTATAATTTCATTGAAATTCAAACATTTTTCTTTTTAGATTTTTAATTTCCATACATTTCTCTACATTTCAATTTTCATAAATTCCAATTTTGTATAGTTCAAATTTTGATTTTCTTAAATTCCTGGATCAGATACGACACCAAGAGGGTCCATAGGGGGTCTGGCTCCCTAAGAAAATTGAATGGCTATTTACTGACCCCCTCAATTTTATTTTTAAATATTATGGCGTTTATTGTATCGAATTCCGGATGTATATTACAGACATAGACATATATCTAGACGGAACACTTATTGAAACTAGTAAAATTATACATATCATCATAATTATTCCATTTTTAAGCGCTAGATGAGAAGTGACATTTTTTCGTTTAAAAAGACTTAAGAATCATATGAGATCTCTTATGGCAAATGCAAGGTTAGGAAAGTAACACACATTACATTTAAATCTGTAATAAACTGAATCAATGTAATATATTTTAGTTTATTAATCTATATCTTAGATTCCAAGCGTAGTGAGAAAGCTATTGGTTTTACTTTTATGTTGTTTATTTCTTTTTTTTTTCTTTGTTCTAGTCTGTGGACACTTTTTTTCCTGGTAAACTTGCTCTGATTTTTACGTGTAATAACTTTTCTGAAAGCTCAAGTTGTCTAAATTGTAGTTTAAAGAGGTGAATTTTCGATTTTAAATAAAAGTATTTAAGTGGGAAAAAATGTAGGAAAACGTACAATTTCACGATTTTATTATTTCATGAAAATACCGACGATATTTTCTATGACAACAAATGATTTAATCGAAAAATTACAAGATACCTTTTTTGTTGCGTTTTTGATTTACTTTCTAAGGGTAGAGTTAAAAACTGCCAAAAATGTTGAGCCACTTTTAATCTTTTAAGGAATTTTGACTTTTGGTAGTTTCTTTGTTGTAATTCGGTTATAAATACACGTAGATACTTTAAACTTGGTAATAATACTTATATTGGATGTCACTAGAGGTGGTGAAAAATCATCGGACGATTTCTTTTTTTTAATAAACGTTTTTAAATCAATTTTAAACGAAAATCACAAACAAAATTACGGCACTTCAAATTATGTATTACCAAACTGCGCTTGGAATCGTTTTTCGTCATGCAATGGTTTATTGTTACTTACAAATTTAAATTAAATAATCTTGTGTATCCTACCTTCCCAACTTCTTACCTACAACAGAGGCTGCTCCCATCCCCAGTATCAGCTGTTTAAAAAAATGCTATTATATATAATCTAATTATCCAACAGAGTAGAAATAAAATAATTAATTCATGTATTTAAAAAATATCCCATTGAAAAATAATTTAACTGTACATTTTTTTTACAAATTATAAGCATCTTAGTTACCCAATTAAATTTATAACAGCAAATTTACCTACGTACGTAGGTTATTTTGTGATGTTTGAATAATTTGGCATTGTTTTTAATTACAAACATATTTTAAAATTATTAGATTTAGATGAATTTGCTAAAAAATTTGCAGTGAATCGTGAAAACAGACGATTATTCCTTGTATTGTATAAAAAATTATATTATATTATAAAAATATAAAACTTATTAACCAATAAATTGTTAAAAATATTCATTTTTTATAGATATTATGTGATAAGAAGAGAGATGGTACTGGTGGTAAGAGGCACAAAAATCAGAAAGGGGCCAAATATAATTTGGATTATTATTTATACACGGAGGGTGTTTCTCAGGACTCGGTCCTCGGATCCACTCGGTAAAATGCCCATGCCCAGGCCCTCTTGGTCACGGGTACTTTAGGTATTATCTCCATTGGATAGGATAAACCCTTGATGCCGAGTGTCTTTACTGTCATTTGCAGGACACCACTGAGCACACTTTCTTTCATTGGCCTCATTAGGAACCCCTTACACCAGGCAATGAAAGCTTTCATAGATGGTAGGAGCATTTCTCCGGGAAACGTATACAGGACCTGCTTCGATCTGCTATTCAAAGACGACGATCCACTAAGACATCAGCAGGGTTACAAATTCGATAAACTAGCTTTTGCACTCATCTAAATTCATTCAATTATATTACCGAATTGTAAGGGGGTGTAGCAGGGACCTCCTGCATTCCATTTCCATGTACTAGGTTAATATTTTATTCATAATAAACGATGGTAATAATGAGCTAAAAATGCTAACACAGATTCGCCACTGTTTTTGGTTAAAACTGGAACAAAAAAATTGATCGTGATGTATATAATATCTATAATAAACAAATACTTATGACTAGATACATTGGACAATTTGATAGAACGAATAATTAAAGTAGTAAATGTAATCAAATAATTTAATTTAAGAATTAAAATTATGAAATTATAAATAAAGAAGAACTTGATGACGATATATTTGAAAACGGGAGAAATTTACCAGATATCGCGGGAAACCATGAAATATATCAAATTTTACCAAATACTTTTGAAGACTTAGGTAATCAATGTACACCAGCAATTTCAAAAAAAGGATAAGTATGTAAAAAAAAGTCATTACTGAAGTGGAGAAAATTGTTTTAATGTATTGTGGTTTTATAATAGAACCACCGAATGAGAGACAAATAATTCGGAAAATATTGAAAATAGAATTGACGGTAAAACCTCTTTGGGAGTTTTTTCATTGTCCTTCGGTGATAATATTATATACTTTACTATATTTGAACAAATAAATGTGTATGCGCGGGGTCCATGATTTAATTAGTGTTTTATTGAGGTGATCTGAAATCTAATTTTAATTCTATAATAATAATAGGTTAGGTCATACGAATATAATAATGCATTATTATTATATTGAATATATCTGAATATTATTTATAGAAATCAAATACAACACATAATATACCCGAGTATTACATTTATTTATATAAGAATCACGTGGCTGTGAATTTTGTATACTGCAAATAATAATTAACGATATTATTGACTATATAATAGTAGTGTATACCTATTATTTACGTTCATGCAGTTAGTTCTAATAATAATATTTTATACAATGTGGAGTTTCGGTATTGCATACATAATTGACTTAAAATTGTTAAAGGTTTCTTAAAATATTCAAAACGGGATTGTTCATCAAAATCACAATAAAGTATTGGGAAATTACCTACTTAAATATACAGGTACAATTTTTGAATTTTAAAATATCAAAATATATTATCTATATATTGTAATATCTAGGTACGTATAAAAACGTACCAGAAACTGTCAATATTGTAACTGTTTTACTGTTCCAAAAGATTTTTCACAAAATAAAATAAAATCATAAACGAAATACAATAAAAGTTTATATTATTGTTTTTGTTTTATGTAAATTTGACAATTTAAAACGAATTAATCACAATAGCCAATATAGTTACTCAAGTACCTATTATAATTTGCAAGTATATCTTCAAGTAGTTATAATAAATTTTAATAACGACGATAGGCGTAGACCTTGCTGGCATGGGGTAAATATATTATATATTATAATAGGTTTTACTTTAGCTCTAACTCTTTGCTTCCTCAAACAAATAATTTTAATAATAGATACCTACCAAATATAAATACTTATAACAAAATAAAAATATAAAATACCTATAAATAGCCTATGAAATAGTTAGAATGTTTTGAAAACTTTACCACGTCTACAAAAGGCCAATATGAGTATTTTGTGAAAACTACAGGTCTCTACAATAATTTTTATCGATTACAACAAAAATCCTAAATGCCATTTACTTTGCTGAATTTCCTACGTTTTTACCGGTTTTTCGTAATTATTAGGAAACCGGCTTTAGATACCAAAAAATAACTTTCTTTAAAAACATAAGTTACAAAAACTAAAAACAATAAAATCGGTAAAGCCGTGGCGTGTTGTTAAATATGTGCTGTTTTACCTACAATTTTATTTCGGTTTTTTTCCAATTATTTTTAAAATCTATTGGAAAATTAAAAAATTATTTCTCTATGCATCAAATAGAGACAATTTCCTTCTGAAAAGGTACTATACTCTATACATCAGAGTAAGATTTTTTTCGAAAAGTTATTTATGGATAGAGAATAAAATACAATAGTAATCCAATAGATTCTGCTTCGCTCCGAATCTAAAATAAATACGGCCAATGGGGGAAGGGGGTTAAACCCCATGACCCTTCCGGCCACCCGTGAGTACGTCCATTGCGCCTTAAGGTACCTAACGATACAGGTTATACATCAATATTATTTGCTGTAATTTTGACAATATTCTTACGACGATGCACCATTGTAACACTCATAATTGCGTACAGATAAAACGAATAAGTTAGGTTAAGTTGGAAGTAAATTTAGTCTGTCCATGGACGTAAAACTGATAAGGCGATAGTTAATTTTTACCAGTATCCCTCAATTTATGTATTATTTTCGCCAATATGTATAGAGTATAATTAGTGTATCATAAAATCATAAAACATAATGACATGCATCATGTTTGTGGACTTGAGGCCTAAAACTAGCCCAACGCCAGCCCATACCCGGCCCGATAGTGGATGGCTGATGACAAGAGGGATAAATGTCCTTCTAATTATTTTAGGTATTTATTACTTACACAATAATGCATCACTGAGTAGCCCTAGCTAGGGCTTCAGCCCTCCCTAATCTCAATCCCTATTTGTGCCTATGATGACCATGTAGATTGGATAATAAATCAATTAATTCACATTTAGTTTCCTTCATTGCCTATATTAGAAATGCCAATATAGGTGTTTTTCACCCTGAACAAATTATTAACACCATTAGTTTTAAATAATTATTTCATATTTGTTATATTTGTATTAATTCTATACGTTTGAAATAAATGATTTCATGATTTTCGATGGAGGGGGTCGTCACCTCCATTTCGTCCGATACTGATTGCAAATATCCTTAACATTTAACATAATCAACTGGTTCACCACATTATTTCACTCCGTTAATTCTCATTAAGTACTAAAATACCTGCAAGCTGAACTTTATCGAAAGGTAGATACTTCATTAAAATTTCACGCGTATTGGATAATTTGTGACTAAGCGTAGAGAATTGTCTTTTTTTATACCTCTGAGCTTTGAAATTTATGATTACACGTGATAAACTAAAATACACTACATTACAGGGGCTTTTATGAAAGTTATGTGCCTAAGATGGTAATGATTATTTAATATTATTGCTAAAAAAAAAAAAAATGGGAAACGATTTAGCCTGAAGTAGCCACGTGCTACTTTGTTTCCTGAGTTTAAGTCATTTGATACATCGCAACACGATCATATTAGTCGGTGTGGTGGTCACTAACTCCGGTATAGGTACCTAACTACCACCTGCCGTTTCAGTTTCTTTATAACCCATGCTAACGAAATTATGTTGACAGCTGAGACTACACAGATGTATAAAATATGTGGCACGCGCGACCTATCGGTTTTTTTTTCAACAACCTATTTTTAAATAATTTACACATTATTATTTATTTAAAGTTTTAACTTTTAATCAAAAATTAAAAAGTTAATCACTATATAAACCCTACGTCATAAGTAGGTTCATATAATAATTGTATTCCAAAATTTGATTATATTACGCAAGGTGTCCTATAGTTTAATCTTTATACTAACTCTGTCAATATTCATTTTTTTTCCAATCGGGTTTTGTGTAAGGGGGACACATATGTAAAGAAAAATTTTTATTTTCATCTCTTAATAACTGAAAAAAATAACTTTATTTTTCTAACATTTTCAAAATAGCCATTTTATATATTAGATATACATAAACTGATAGGAAAACTATTAAAATATTGTACTTACAAACTAATCATATTTAAGTAATAGTCAATATTACACTACCAATTATGAAAACAATTCTATAAAAAAAAAAAATAGAATTCAATTACATATTAATAATATAAATTATCTCGTATAATCGTTTGAAGTAAACTTTATTTGATTTACAAGTTGTGTAGTATATAATACGAGTTTATAGCCCCTTTTTTTTAGGGTGGATGTCCAATGAAATGTTTTACACGCGAACAATAGTCCGGATATATAATATAGTAGTCCCTTTTTATCACCCTTAAAATCTAAAACCTTTTACAATAAAGCACTGGCTACACGTTATACGAGTACTATTTATTTAATAATAGTTTCTATATTATATTAAACAACTACACCGATTGACGAACTAAGAAGTCCAGTAAACACAGGTGTTTATTTACTTTTTGTGTGTACCAATAATCACCCTCTGTACTGCAATATATTATACTCATTGCACACCATTATAACACACAATCGTGCTCTACTCGTACTTATCTTTTAACTATAGCGTGTGAACTGAATTCAAAAAAACCGTTCTATTTGGATGGTTTTATTAACACTATTAATTATACTCTAAAGTATAGGTACTAAATAATTATCTTGTGTGGTAATAATTAAATGATTTAGATGCGTATAAAATGGTAAAACATCGTGTAATGAATACCTATCTGTATATCATTTAAAAATCTAATACAAAATTTTAACAACTTACACATTTACATACATATACATATTTACAAGAATAATTATTTGATACTTTTGAACTCGTATATTATAGTTTTAATTATTATAGTTTGTCAAACATATCGTTGAATTTTATTTTTTATGAATTTATGATAAAAACAAAATACGCAATTTGTTTGATATTGACATACCTATTATTATTTATTACTTAGATGCTAACCTATTGATTTATTTCGTAACTGTCGTTATATTCATTTAAAGGTATTTAAGTTTAATGTAATAATTATATTTATAAAATAAATGTAGGAGATTGATATCACTATTGTTATTGGTTATTTATAAATTAGTTATATAAGGCTACTACTATAATAGGTACTTTCCACGACTATTCACATTTTTAGAGTTTAGAAATACACATTATATTGTTATTATACTGTAGTATCGTAATTTAACAATATTGTATACCGCGATAATAAGTATTTTGAATATTATTTGACGAGTGACGAATTTTCGAGCTCACAAAACGAAGTACTTATAACTTTTTTATGGCGAAACAAGAAAATAACGCAACGTGTTAAAAATTAAAAAATCAATGACAAACATAGTTTTTTAGTAGTAATTCTACCGCTTATTATATTAATATACGCGAGTAATAATAACCGTGCGGCGTGCACTGTATAGTGATTAGAATCTGCAGGATTCACCGTCGGGTACCTATATAAAAACTTGTACAAATTTTAAAATTACAAATCTGTATTCCGGGATTTTACGAATATCGAAATCTAAATTGTAAAAACGTAAAAGTCTGGAAAGTAACATGTTTGAATTGGAATAAATAGTTATCATGTAGGTTTCCGGATTTATATTGTATTCCAGATTTTTACGCTCCAGGTTTCAAAGTGTTCGCTTCATCGTCTATACACCAAGTATAAATATTAGGATCTATACGCGCTGTACGAAGGATTCCCACGATAGATAAATACCGTATACTCGGTGGGTCCGGCGTAGTACTCGTATCTTCAACACATCTCCGAAAAACCCAAAGTAAACACGACCCGTCAATGATATCAATTTACCGATATTAATCGCGGTTTTTTTTTTTTATTTAATTATTCACCAAACGACGATTAGCCGATTACTTGTCGTCCGTACTATATCTACTTACACTGACAGACAGCGGGACACACGTACGTACACATTCGAATGCGCGGTGTAATATTATTAAGTAATCCTCAAGACACGTGGCGTACACGCGTTCAAAATTTTTTTGTCTGCGGATATAACGCGCCGCCGATTATCTTGTCCCTTTTGTTACGGAGCTCTGACATTAGCATTAAACCCGGGTACGGCTAAACTGAAATATACATAATATAACATACTGTACTATATGTTTTTGATGCATTATGATTAGTACGATTATTTAACGACCACAATCGTGGTTGTTGTATATAGTATACCAGTCGTATAATCAACGCCGTGTTCTTATACACTGACGGCACATTTTTTCATAATCATAAAAATATTAATTAAAAATATACAATTTTATTCGTGTTTCCAGCTAAAAAGAATCTTTAATAGCTTTAATAGTTTTAGTAGTTTTACTATAAGAAGTTTTTTATTTCTCGGAACATACTTTTCGGTTAGCAAAAGTGATTCAAATTATTGACATTGCGTTTCAAGGATTTTTCCAAAATTATAAAAAATAATTACGACAAATGTCGATACAATAGTTTGGTTTTGTTGACTTTTGGGTTGCAAAAGAAAAATTCACGACTTACTGACTAAACTTATCAGTTTACTAAGCTCGAGTCAAAATCCCGATTAGATTGCAATGATGTATCTTTGTTTTCAGTATATAAACTAAATTATCCTCTAGGTATTCTATAATATATACCTACCAAAAGTCCAAAAGTGTAGATAATAATAAATTAATAAGCATATATTTTATATGAGTATGATTTAGGTACTTTGAACTTTCATCAATATTATTTATCTGATTCAGACATAATATTGTTATTAGTTATTTACTATATTTATGAGGCACAATAAGCATAATATATTTTCATAGTTATAGTTTTTTTTTTTTTTTAGATACTTCCATTTCATAAGATAACTCTCTGACGCTCGGCCAGCCGAACGTTTAAAAAACGAATCATTATCTCTCACAAATAATATTGTTACAATAATTTGATACTTTCGTTCCGTAAACTCGTCTTTAATTTATCGAATTAAAAATGTGATAGACTGCATAATAATCAATCAATAACATATAAAATAATATTATAGTCTATCTCGTTTTGTACGACGCGTGAAGTGCCAATGACCTGTCCTCTCCGGGACACATCTCGTTATTTTTTGCAATGTAATAATAATAATAATAATAATAATAATAATACCTAATAATATTATAAATTAATGTCTACGTCGGCCGCCGCCCCGAGAATATTCGTCTGATCCCGATCCGCCCGCTGCGACGATTGCGTTTGTTGTACCTATAAGACGCATTGCTGGTACTAACCATGTACCATATACCGGAATATACCGTACAGCTATATAAGTATAGAGTATCTATATTATATTATACATGTTATATCTACGTTTAATTAGGCACCTATGATTGGCTACTCTTTGGAGTGGATATTTTTATTTTATCGCGTATCGCCAGTAAAGGAAACGTTATTACAACGAATACGGCGGCGCCGGTGTTGTGCGGGCGGGCGGGTGACCGACCATGTAACATAATAATACAACAGCCTTTGGGTTCGTTGGATCGGAAGTTGACGTGACCAAGTTTATAGTGTTGTGTGGCCTGCGTATATTATACAGTGGATATTATTATTATTATTAATTTTTTTTTTTTATCATTCCAGACGAACGACGCGTCCGCAGACATTACCGTCCGGGCGTACTATCCCATGACGGCGTGGCGGTGAAGTTCGCGGTGATACACAATATAATATATAGCTACCTATACATATTATATCCACACACGTTATGACAAAATAAAACCACGTTCACCGCGGAGGTATCGGACTGCTAAATTGTAGAATATCGTATTTTATTAATTAATGCCGTTGGCTGTTACTGGATGTTTTTACGTGAACGCGTGTCCCTCTTCCTAAAAAAAAAAAAAAATACTTCACGAGTAGATAGACACAAGACAAATTCTCAAATCGAATTTCCCCGCGGAGATTATTCTATTAAAGAGCTAACTTTGGTTGAATTTCATACACCCGATGAACAGACACTAAAAACGGCTGAAATTATATTTGACCAAAAATGTACAAAATTAGCTGTTTAAAATTGTTAAATTTTGATTATCAAATATAAATATCTGTACCTATATATGTAAAAATAATTAAAATTGTGAATTTTAAGAAGTTCCTAAATCAGCCTATTTGACCTATTTCAATTTGACGGTTAACAAGTTGGTCCGATTTTTGTATCATTTTATTATTATATTTTTTCATCCTTTGTTCGAATCGGCTAACATGCCGACCAACACATATTTGTTAGCTAATTCAGATCTGTTCGGACTGTTTTTCGTCACTTGTAGAAAATATAATTTGTTCGTTTCATTACAAAATGTCGTTTTCAGATGTGTAGAAGCGTATTATACTTGTATATTCTCTTAATATTATACTATATTACGAGTATAATAATAGTTTTATATTCGAACCATGATGTAAAATACAATTATTTGAAAATGTGATTATATTTTTTGATGTATAATATATTATTATTTACCTACTATATTAGGTAGTTAAGTTTTTAATTATGGTATTAATTTATACTTAATTATACATTTCAATAATTGCATGTACCCCAAATTAATTTTTGAGGACACATTATTTAAAACAAACATAATTATATATTGTTATATATTTTTTGAAACTATATCATAATATATGATATAAACATTATAAATCTTTCAGAGATATTACAGGCCTGTCAAAAATGTTCAAGCTCCCTCGGTGTTACAGCTAATCATTTATATAGGGTCTATATATTTGGCACGTGCATGATGGTCAGATGCATAAACACCACGCCTAAGGAACACCCGTAGAGACAATTCATTAACGGACGAATGTTCAAAAAGAAAAAATAACAAGTCCCCTATATCGATATTGACATTGACGAGAGTATATTTCGCTACTATAATAATATAGGATCACACTTGAATATGTGTTGCTGCATTATAAAATATATTTATACATCATTGGTGCTCATCTTTGAAATATATATACAGAATGTCCCACCGTGTTTTCCTGATGCTAATATCTTTTAACTAGGTATTCATTTTTTTTAGTCAAGTTTTGTGTGAGGGGAGCATTATTATATTTAGAGAAAAATTAAATTTATTTATCATCTCTTAATTATTTGAAAAAAAAAAAAACTTTATTTGTTTATTTTCCAATGTTTTCGAAGCCACTTTAGATTATAGATATTTCGAAAATTTTGGGAAGCGAATAAAAAGTTATTTTTTATAAGTGATTCAGGGTTGAGAATAAATATTTAATTTTTCTTTAAATACATGACCCTCTCACACAAAATCTGATTGAAAAAATAAAAAGAATAGAGATATAAGCATGAGGAAACCACGGTGAGGCACTCTGTATACATGCTTATGTATATAATATATTATATATAGGTCAATTATATTATATACTGTATGATTCTGTTCATGTACGAGATACGCGATCATAAGATCATTTACACATGTTATCTAACATCATAAAAAATTTTACTGTGTTAGAAATATAATAATACTATCACTAAAAATAACGAATCGTATTCATATTAATTATTATAAAAATAATTTAAACTTCAATTAGGTAGCTATTAATTATTATATTACAATTAATATAATTAAGATAAATTATGTGTACATTCATGAAAAAAAAAGATCTTTAACGGGCATAATACAGAATTCACTATATTCTATTCCGTCGACTATTTTATACATATAGTATTTTATTTTATACTTATGATGATATTAAATAATCGAAAATAACGTTTTTAAAATGTCACATTTCATCCACAGGAATTCTGAATAGAGTTTATTGTTCAATGGAGTTATTTATAGGACTTTAACAAGATTATAAGTATACTAATTAAGTCCTCCCTCCCTCCCCCGATAGAAAGAAGTTTACAACTTTGAACATAGTAACTATATACATATAATAATACAATACAGGTAGCTGGTAGGTATTATAATATCTATTACATTTTAATAATATTTTAACAACTAAAATGGTACGATTAATTTTTAAACACATTTACAGAAAAAAAAAAAAAAATCAAAAAATGCGTATCTACTACACTGTATTTGTTATACACGTGTATTATAATACGATATTGACCAGCGATTTTGCTGCGTGATGTACGTTTGTAAAAACGTCAGTACTGTACTCGGCAAGGTTTGAAATTCGATTCAACGATGAAGAATATATTATTTTGGTCTAGAGGAGAATATTACTCCGATTGAATTTAAAAATGAAATAACTATACATTATGGGAACATATTATATTGAGCAAATACATCATTGAGTATATATCGTGGGATTTTGAAAATGCGTAACCGCAGAATCTCGCTTTTCTCTGCAGCGATACCACGCACTGGTGCAGTAATAGATCTTGTCCGCCACGAATAGGAATGGAATGGATCTCTGAACGTGTGACTCTACGGTGTAACTCGATTCGAGTTACCGGGTTGTCGGGTTGACAGGACATAGCGCACGATGGACTACGCGAGACTGATAGGTAGAGTGAGACGGAGAGTACGGGGAGAGAGATATTTAATACAAAACCGTTTTAACCCTTTATGCATGTGTATATTTGTGTTAGGCTGGTGGTTTCGAATTTCTTAAAAAAAAAAAAAAATTGTTGACCGGACAGTTGGTGGAAGTAATAATTACGCCGCCGTGTCCAGGAAGTTAGAAAGTGTTGATGACCGGAAACAAGGTGAACGGTGCACATCCCCACAGCAACCCTGGTTAGGATCCGATATCAGTTTTGTCCGTCCAAACCCCAAACCGACATCCTCTTTGACGCCAAGTAAGGTTAACACCATTCCTGTTTTCAGTTTTTTGTTTTTTTTTTTTCAAATATATTTTCGATACTATTATACTTGTGTAGCCGAGATCAAAATATTAAACAAAAATCGAATTTTTATAATTATATTTATAGTACTATAGTAGTCATCAGCTACTAGCTACGATAACAGGTTAAAATATAATAATTTTTAACAACATCTAAATTTGAAAAAAAAAGAAAGTATTTTCCGACTATAATATTCTCATTGAAGTTAAAACTTTATATACATTTAATAGTAGAAAACACAAATCATTTTTTAGAAAATATTAAATAACCATACCATGTAACTATAATATGAAATTAAGTTTCATAAATTTATAATGCAATAAAATAAATTGATAAACTTCGATTAAAACATTATAAAATAAATTCTTATTTCTTACCCAATTTATTTTAGACAAAAAATTAAAAATATTTTGTTAGTATGAAATCATACTTAATATTTAGTTAATTATTTAGAATGATGGTAAAAAATTAATGTCAATGCTTCGTATACAATTATACTGAATTATTAAAAAACATTGATTTTAAATAAAACTTGCGGAAAATCGAAAAATTATGTGTCAAAAATGCAGGCATTGTAATAGAAAATTTATCAATTTTAACCGAACCAACGAATCTCCGTATAAAATCGTTTTACGTTAATCGTAAAACTGTACATAAAACTAAAATGTAGTATATATTTCATTTAATTATTCACTTTGTGTTATTGTTTTTTTTTTTTAAATGTGTAAATAAAAAACCCAATGTATTCCTTGCTCCACTTAGAATCTAAAATACGAATATTTTGTATTTTCAATTTATTTTCTGTAGTTGGATATAATTTCCATACAACTTATTACTGTTTATAAAATACAGTGTATTCATCATAATATTTTATTAAAATGTAAAAACATGAAAAATAATCAATATTAATTTATTTCAATTAATTTATTCAAGCATTACAAATAAGTAGAATGACATTGCACAGTGTAATAAAATATCTTTTACGCCTATATACAATATAATATGTCTCAATTAATCAATGAGTTTGATAATCGAGATAATTGATATTCTTTTAAATATAAAAACAAAAACATTAACAATATTAAAATAGAGTGCAGATACCTAATTTATACCCTTAACAGTCGTTATTATAGAAATTCCGTATGAAAGTTTACATATTTCAAACATTTTAAAATTATATTAGTCAACCTTAAAAAAAAAATCTAAATTTTAAACAACATTAAAAGGTTTTGTGATGAATTAATTCTGTTTCTATTTACATCGTATACCTATATATAAAAATTGAATGAAACCATTTTTGTTTTGCACATATAATACACCCAGGATTTTTCAATGGGGGCTATTATATTATATAAAGGTTTTTTTTTTATTAAAGTTGTTTTCAAAAATACATAATTTGTGTAGTGCGTGTGTGTACTTCATTGAGTAAGTAATGTAAACGTGCAATGGTGCTGAATAGTTTAATTATTTGCTTTTTTAAGTCAATGGAGAGAGGTTGAAGCCTTTTTATTTCCCCGGGATACGTCATTTGTATGTACCTACATAGTAATCTGATACATAATATAAATAATAATTCTTATAAAATGTTAACAAAAAAAAAAAAAATTAAAGTGAGTATAATATTTATAAAAGAGACTATTATTATGATGGCACCAATATTTTCAAGCTACAATTAGTACCTAATAATGTATAATGTAGTTGGAGTTGGAAAATATTTTACTAGTGGAAAATAGCAATCCGTTGCGTATGTAATAAAGTAATGCGATGTCATCAACAAAAAAATAACGGATATCGAACGGTTAAAAAATTGGAAAAATACTTATAAAATCAATCAATATATAATATTGACATCATATTATTATTATAATATTACGTCTACACGTATTTAATGCGCGTGTATTACTTGCGGTTAGTATAAAACAATTGCAAAAACGCGTGCGCGCGCGCGCGCGTGTGTGTGTGTGTGTGTGTGTGTGTGTGTGTGTGTGTGCAGACCATTGATTGTGAACGCGTTCGGTTTGGAAAAGAGCGCCAATCGCAGTGCCGGGAAGCGGACACCAGTTGTGAGTGACGTAAGTGGCGTCATGCGAGGACAAGTTGCGGCGTCCCTTCTGCGGTCAACCCCCATCACATGGCATTAATCGCCATCGTATTGAGGGTCGTCACCGCCGCC